CACATTCTTTTACAAAACTAAGACCTTGCTATGCTTATAATAAAATACCAAGAAAATCTGGCAGTAAACTGCAGTTTGTGTATAACTCTGGTTTAGCTCACAATTTTTCAAGCTGATACCAGCTTTGTATTCTGCAGTTAAATATTGTGTCTGTCTGAGTTTATGTAATCTATCTGATTGGGAAAATGTGAACTGCCCAAATCAGGGTATAAATCAAGGCAGCCCCTTCTGGCTCTTTAATGATCAAAAACAAACATGGTCTTTCAATTCAGGCATCCTTAACACAGCATCAGAAGGCTGGCTCATCTAGTGGCTGGTTACCAAATTCTATGCATAAACTTTCATGTTAGTTTTCCTAAAATGAGTCCTTTCATCTTAAATCTGTATGGACAACCTAGCTCCTATGACATCCACTTTTATGCGTTGCAGAGTGATGATTTTAAGCTTACTTTACTGCTATGCCATTGCAGAGGCACACGTTTTCCACATGCCTTGGCAGATGCATTTTAACACTCTTCATGCCTGATAAAGTCAGTGCTTTCACAGAATACAATTCCTCTTGAGTGAGGAAGTGCATGTGGATCCCTCTTCCATCACTGACAATCACAGAACATGCTTTTCCGTTAAAATTTACCACATTTTTATGAATAATCAGATGAATTGATGGCATAAGAGCACTGTGCCCATCTCTCAAAATGGGACAGTGAAAATCCCCCTTTTCCACTGCCTAACTCAGCACAGTACTTGTCCATTGGAACTGGAATGGAGAAAGTACAAAGACAGACACCAGCTACACATTCTACTAGCAAACACGACTATGCACTGTGGACTTTTGTTGAATGTGCTAATCAAGTAGACATGTAGGAAAGTAAAATGCTGCCAGGCTAACAACACTAGGTCCCAGTGAAGGGGTCAGGAGCTGCCTGGACCAAACCTGAGCTCATGGGAGCAGCATAAGGAGCAGCAGCCTGCTAAACCTGCTGTGGATGTCATAGCTCCTGGGCATGAGGAACCTGTTCAGGAACTGGCTGTGACATAACAGCTGCCTCCAATGAGGCAGACAAAATTCTTGCAGAACACCATTAACTTGTAAATTATTTCATATCAGCCAGCCATGCTCATAACAACAGATTCCACTTTTCTTTAATCATCCAGGTTAATTTGACTAGGACTTAATTATTCTGAAATAATAGAAACCAGAGATCATGCTTACTATCCTGAAGTACATACTTTCCTCTTTTCCCTTAGCTTTATCAAGGGCAGGACAACAGCACTAAGCATCACAAAATACATGGCTTTTTGGCAACACATAAATTAACAGATTCAGAATTCAAAGCTTAAATACATCTGTGAACTGTCAGCATGAGTGAAATGCACTGAAATTCCCCTTGGTTTTTCCTCACAATTGTAACCAACCCCATAAATCTAACTTTAAAAGAATTAGACTTGAGCCAGAAACCCATGCCTTGTCTACACTTAAAAGGGTTGGCTGGTACAGCTACACCTTAGAGCTGTATTGGCAAGCACACATCCCTTTTCTGGTGTAACTTAAATCACTTTCTGTGTGGAACATGCTAAACTGGCTAAAGGACTCTGCCAATAGAACAGCATCAACACTAGGTCTTTTGCCAGTATGGCTGTAGCTGCATGGGAGTGATTTTTCATCGTTCTGACAGCTATTTTGGCAAAACTTCTACATTTAGACTGAGTCCAAATAAAAGCTGGCATTGTTTTATGTTGGAAATAAAGCAGAAGAGAGGCATTGCCAGTTTATGGCCCTGGTTTTACATTATTTTAAATTGTTTGTTCCAGAGGAATGTGTGGGGCAGGATCCATGTGGTCCTTTGGATGATTGCCTCCCACATTTGTGCTGCATTAAAATCACTTGGTTTTTCAGTGAGTGAGCTTTGGCAACAGAGAAATTACATTACTAAAAAAAGATAGTGTCCGTATTATTTCCCCAGAAATAGCTGTCCTGATGCTTTAAAGAAAATTTCCACAGTGAAGTAAGCTGCCATAGGAATCATCAGGGCCAAAGGATATGTGGATTAATGCTTCATTCTTACTCACTTTGTCCTCAGTTCAACAAAGAATTTAAGCACAGGATTAATTTTAGGCACACATATAAGCCCGTTTCAAGTTTAGTAGTAATGTCATATATGATAATGCTCCTTTTTGAACTTTAATTAGGCAGATATTTGAAATTAATCATATGTTTAAGCACTGTGTAGAATGGCGATTTCTGTCAGAAGTGCAAGTTTACAAAGAGTGAGGCTAGTTATTGTGGCACCATCTGCATCTTCTTTCCTGAACTTGATGTTAAGTCTGTATTTTAAAGATGTCTCAAGGTGCTTATATTTCCACACAGCCACATTCACATATTTGGCTGTTTTTTCCTGATCTCTCTTTTGCTAAGTGGATTTTTTTGTTTGTTTGAGGGTTTTTTGTTTGTTTGTTTTTTTGTTTTGTTTTGGTTTTGTTTCAGAAATCCATACAGAGAAGTTGTAATCTATTTTGGGACTGCACATACTGTTCAACTCTTTCCTCTGCCAGACTTTGTGTTTGCACATGTAATCCTGACACGGGGGCTTGCACACCTGCCCTTGCTGCTGGAGCTGCCCTGCAGACACCAGGCCGTGCCTTCCTGCACACAAGGGCTGTAGGGGCAGGTAGGAAAGCTGCGTAACCCGGCAGCACTGAACCAGTAAGCCCATTGGACGAGGAAGTCTGATTTAATCGAGGCTTCTTCCTTCCTTTTTTGTAAAACACAGTGTGTTCCTGTTAGAAGAAAACACAGACATGTTTTTCTCCATTTTGAAAATGCAGGCAGGCTTTTTGTGACCTTGTACAGCCACCACAACTGAAGTTCTGCAGCAGCTTTCAGGTGAGTGTTTTGTGCACTTCGCTTTCACTGTTTCAACTCAGTGCAGCAGCTGGAGTGGCCACCACCCTGAAACAGACCAGGATGGGTGTCTGTTTGCAGTAAAATTGCCTCATTTGTTGCAGAGTGTTTGTATTGTTTTGGATTTTAAAATATGTAAAAATAAATAGAAGCTTAGATAGAAAAGCTCATAATGATTTTTAGCTGTGAAACTGTTTATAAGAAGTACAGGTAGTTTTCAAGGCAGATACATTCAAGGCAGAAGACTTGTACATTGTAACATTCACTTCTGCATTCTTCTGTTTACAAGTGTGTTGTGTTTCTCTGGTGAATATTGGTTTAAAGTAGTATTTTTATATATATGTACCCACATATATATTATGTATATAAAGTTAAACATACAAATAAAGATATAGAAAATACAGTTCTGCTTATAAGGTTATACCAATGTACAAAAAGGTTATAAATTAAATTTGTTCAGCTATTTGCAGGCTCCTCATTTAATCTACTATATTTGAGCTTATCTTTACATTAAAACCAAATATTTGCAGGTTCATGCTCTTGGAATAAACTGTCATGATTTTCAAACGACTGAGCAGTTAGACAATAAGTGGCTACTCTTCATGTTCAAAAAGCCAATCTAAAAGATCAATGAGAACTTTCCTCTCCTAGTCTGAAGTCCAAAAACAAGGGCTTCCATGATGCTCTTATTACGGACGCTGACAACATGTGTGCACTTGCTTATCCAAGCCAGGCAAAGGAAGCTTTATGTTAGAGTCAAGTGGTTTGCACTTCCATTATTTCCAGTGGGGGAAGTAATTGCTTTTCTTTTTATAGCTTTGTAATTTCCCAGAAATCAATAGCCCTGCTGAAGGAGTTTCTTCACCTCTCTATCCAGCGTTGCATAACTGTATGGTACACAAGTTGAGGCCAAATGATATGTAATAATGTCCCTGTCCTAAACCCTCTTATTACTCAACAACCACTTCTTGGGCATTATTTTCACATTTGTAGCAGGAGGACTTGTTTATTTTAAAGTAGGTTTTTATGTTATTTGATTATCACCCGTTGGCTGAATTGTGAGCAGCAGTTCTCTCATGCTAACAGAACACAGCACCTGGGAAAAGTTGTTAGGATCCTCTTACAACTTTTTCAACTGCTAGTATAATACAGTGATGTAACAGGAGGGTAAAAAACAAAACAAAACCAAAACAAACAAAAAAACCACCAAAAAAACAAACAAAAAAAAAACAACCACACACAGAAAAACAAAACAAAACCAAAAAAAAAACCCCACAAAGCAAAACAGCATCCTGGGGAGTTATTTAGGTGCCAGAAGGGACAATCTGGTCTATGGAGTAGAAGTATATTGTTTTAGGCATTTTATCAACATGTGGTAAAATAGTAGTCCTTGCAGAACAGACATACACATATCCTACAAGCACAATATAGAGATTAAAAAGACAAGAAGAGGGAAAATTATTCTGTAGAATAATTAGAAAACTCAGTTCTCCTTCCACCTAGCCATCCCCAGATTCAGTTGCTTTATTCTCACAGTACAGAAACAAGTCTCTAGAGAGAACCTGAAACTATGACACTATAGATATCATCCTATTTTGCCCTACCCATTGTGATGAAGAACAGATGTCAAGTTTTGGAGTCTGGAGAACAATAAATTCTGGCGGTATAAGAGAGCCAGGCTGCTAGTTATTATCTCCAAGATTTTAGTTCATCTGAACTGTTACTTACAAGCTTGAGGAAAATGCAAGATGAAAAAAATTTGCCCCCACTGAAGTTTATGACAAAATTCTCATATGTAAGAATGGAGTTCCCCACCTAACCTTATTTATCATGACTCCATATGTTTTCATGTTTGATTTTAATCTGCCAAAATGATATTGAGACTTTCAGTGACAATAGTTATAGGAATAGTTCTTCACTGGTAGCTACGTAGATACTTCTATTTATTACTTCAGTTTTTATGGAATTGCAGTTGCCCTTATACACACTCACAGAGAATAATGAGTAAGTCAACAAAAACGACAACCAGACTGGATCCTCTAAAGACATGCTACTAAGAAATGTTGTATTTTCTGTAATCTTTCAGCAATAATTTGCAATGGACAAAGACTCACACTGCACGGCAGAAGAGGAACTGTTGGAAGCTGTAAGCAGAATGACCCCATTTTCTACCACAAGCCCATGTGATGAAGAACAAAATCAACCCAAAGCTGAAATTTCATGTAAAGTGAGAAAAGAAAAGCTACAAAAAGATGTCCTTCAAGGTTAATGCTATCCTTTAATTTTATTTTTCATGTAGCTATTTACACCATTAATCTTTTATATTAAAACCTTTGCTTTATTTATTGCAGCAGCAGTCCAGATTTACATGGCTATACTCCTCTGAAAATAAGCCTTGTAGTAATCATGTAACAGTAGTGAAACAGATGCACATACACAGAGTTTTCCTTTAAAATCCCTGTGCCTAAAATGTATTCCAGCCTTAGGAGCACGCTTTCTGTACATGGCAAAATCTAAACTCCTTGGCAGCATGAGCAAGGCAAGACTGAAGCTAATCTCAAGCACAGGCTAATCACATGCCTTATGAAGAGGCAGCACTGCTACTATGCCTAAGATTGCTGTCATCTATTATGAAATAAAACACTATATATAATCCAATATATATGTAATCTCATCAAGATATTCAGCCTGCAAAGATGCCCTAAACACCACCTCTTCTAGGAAATCTGTGCTTTGAAGGGATTGAGCTAAACCCCAAAGACCTTGATGATTGAAACTGTATGGCCAAATGATTAAGAACAAGTAGAAATGGGGCCACTGAAGGAGTACTGTGGTGCCTTTCCAATACTTTATCTTTATCCAGCTGTTGTTTTCCCATTCATTTGTTGTCATTCACCTCCATTTTCTGAATGTTAGACACATTGCAGACTGACTTCAGCTGACTACATTGCCCATTGAAAAACAAATATTCCTTTTCTTTTATCCACTTTGCTAGCCTATATGCCACCTGATGAAAAGTGTTGTCAGTAGATTTGAGAGATAAATCACCTCTTCAAAAAGCTACATGAAATTTCCTTGTAAGCAAACTCTTCAATCAGCTGTCCTGTATTTATATATATGCATGTGTATATATGTTTGCCTGTGTGTATGATACAATACTTCTTGGCTTCTTCTATACAACTTTGTATTCTGCGTCCGATTTGGTATCTTTCAAAATTTCACACCACAATAGCTTTCCTCAAATAATCTGGCCCTATCTTTATTATCAGTGAAATAAATTATTTTATCAGTCTTTAGGTCTTTCTCTTACAGCAACAGAAATCCTAGGCTCTCCTTTCACAATAAATGCATAAAAGTTTTCTTTCCAAGTGCAAAGGTTATAATCTCAAATACTAAATATGTTGGTTTTAGGTTCCAGTCCATCCTTAAGTCCCAACTCTTCAATGACCACTAAGGAGCTTCAGGAATATTGGAGGAATGAAAAACGCCAGTGCAGACAAGTCCAACTCCTTTTTGAAATCCCATCCACCAGAATTGTAGAGCACCACTTATCTAAATATGTGGTAAGCTAAGAAATTAATATGTAAGAAGACCATTAATTTTATTCACTCTGCAGGGGTCTGCACAGCACACAGCATGCCTCACTACATGAAAGGCATACCAAGGGCCAAGTTTTGCAAGCCATGATCATACCCAGGAGAACCTGCTCTCACTGATTGTATGAGTGTAGTTGGTGGAATCTACTCCTAAATAAAACCTCTGACACTCAGTTCACAAAATCTGCAGCAGTTGAATAGTGATATCAAGTAAATTAGTAGCCCAGACGCTTGTCAACTATAAAGAAATTCACACAAGTATAAAAACATCAATATAGTTACACTTCCACTGAGCTAGCCTGCTGTAGCAACTGTGTTGCATTTGTATAACTTCCACATCAGATATTTTTATTAGCACAAGTGCAAAATTATTTGATGTTGACAAACATGAAAACATCCTTCAGTTAGATTGCTTGGGATCACTCCCCTTCCCTACCTAGACCTCCATTAGGTGGCATATTTCTGTCATATTTTTAGGTTGAAACATGAGTAGGTGGGACAACAACAGAAGGGTTTGCATTTTTGTATCTTTGCTCACAGTGCTAACACTTCATTTTTATTTCTGATTCTGCTCCTGGCCTCCAGGAGGACTGATACAGAGCAAGTCTCTTTCAGTACTCCTGTGAAATTCAGATAGGGATATTTGCCTTGTTTGCAACAAACTCTGATATCTGTAGATCAAAAATGCTAAGAATCATAGCCGTGTTGCTGATACTGGGTGATGCAGCCTGGTAGAATTTGAAGCATCCTCTGGAAACTTTCCTAAGATCTTGCTGCATGCTGTACACACTTTGTTAGATGCTGCAATGCATGCATATACTCAGTGGTATCCAGCTTGTTGAAAAGTTAAAAATTATTTAGGTAAAACTGTATGAGAACAAGAATATTCAGCATACCTGTAAGTAGTTAAACTAAGCCATGTCACACACCTAAGTAAAAAGATTTACATTACAACAAAATTTAGCTAATTTGATTTACAGTCTAATTAAATGGTAGATCTTCCATTTTTTTATGCATGCTCCACAAATAAAAAAAACAAGTACTTGTAAGTTATTCACTTAGCTGCCCTTGATATAAAGATAGCTTTAAAAATTACTCTTATGATTCTTTTGAATATGTATCAGGCATTTATACACTTTTCAGCAGGGAGCAGGACAAAGTACAGGAAAATGTCACAGTGCTTACAAATAAAAAGAGATCAGAGAAGTCAGCTCAAATTTAGAAGCCTTTCAAGGAGTGCTTGTGAAGATCATTTAACGAAGATTAAAAGAGATCATTTCTCTTGAAGGAAAAACAAGGAAGATAATCAGACATACACTAGTGTTAGTACTGGTTTGCACCCTTCAACATCACCAAAGAAAACAACTGGTATGAGTAGAACTGCTCCAGTTTCTATATAATTCAGAGGAAACAGGGTGAAGTTGAATGTGAACATGGTCATGATGAGAAGCCAGCAAGGTAAAGAGTCTGTATCCTTAGCTGGTGTACGGTGACAGTTACTCTGGCCTCAGTGGCGCTGCACTGCTTTACACACATTAGGGATTTGACCCTCACTCAACATCACTATGCTTGGATCAGGACCAGAAGAGAACACGTATTTTGCACAACACATATTTTGCAGCTATCATATTTATTACAGTCATTTTCAGGCTAGTGAAGAGGTGAGGAAGACATACTCTTGAGTACACTTAATGTAGGACAGTGTTGCTGTTAGCTGTTGGTAACGGCTTTTGGATAGCAAACAGATTTCTGTAGAATTGTTACATTATTTTGCATTACTTATATGCCAAGTTAAGTTTGAATAACAAGACAATGAGTCTTGTTAAGTGGAAAACAGGCTTTGGAGTTGCTCCATCTTATTTTTGCACACACCAAATATTACTGCCAAATACTCCCTCTTCTTCACAGCATTAACAACACCCCCAAGTCCCTAGAAATGTCTGATACAAACAACATCTGACTATTACGACCAATGTAAAAAAGATTACATTCAACATTCAGTCTGGGAAATCCATTCTGTTCACTGAAGATGATTAATTGCAGCAGCCATGGCTGTTATAAACAAAGTACAGCTATAGAAATGCTTTGTAAGTGATTATATGTGCTTCAGTCTGTTGCTAGTTCATCATTCCCAGCACCTTGCAGGATGGGATCTGTTAGCATATTGTTTATCTACAACTTATTTACGTGCTAACATTAAGTCTGGTGACAAAAGTCCAAAACAGCAGGAGGTAGGAATTATTAATTTGATGGCTGCAGACTTCAAAGATCAGGCCTGTACTCAGCATGCAACACAATCTCTGATTTAGCAGCACTGTTATAAACCAGAGGAGTATACAGGATTACACAAAAAAAATTAGTGCAGGAAGGTTTTGGCTAGTGGAATACACAAGCACAAAGCCTTTTCAAAGCAAGAACAGGCAAAATCTGACTGCACTAGGGCCATAAATTATCCTTCTCATGTTTATTTTTCTCTTTCATTTGGTTTAGATGTATAAAATCATCGTTTTGCAAACAGGGAGTTTTGACAGCAACAAATCCATAATTGAACGGCGTTATTCAGATTTTGAGAAGCTGCACAGAAATCTACTGGAAGAGTTTAGTGAAGAAATGGAAGATGTGAGTTTTCCAAAAAAAACTCTAACAGGGAACTTCACAGAAGAAATAATCAATGAGAGAAAATTAGCCTTCAAGGACTACTTGAGACTTCTATATTCTATGAAATATATCCGAAGATCAAAAAAATTCATTGACTTTTTAACAAGGCCGGAGCTTCAGGAAGCATATGGCTGCCTGCGGGGTGGCCAGTACACCAAAGCTCTGGAAATCCTTTTAGAAGTCATTGGTCTGCAGGAAAGGCTGACAAGGCAGAACCCTGTCTCCATTGTCCCAACTCTCTGTGCTATCGTGGTGTGCCACAAGGACCTGGAAAACCCAGCAAGTGCCTTTGAATATGGAGAAAAAGCTCTGTCACGCCTTCATGTGCATACCAGCCACAGGTATTATATCCCATTGTTAGAAACAATGATCGCTTTGGCATATGAACTTGGCAAGGATTTTCTCTCTTTGCAAGAAAAAGTGGAAGAATGGAAGGCAAAGAAAGATCCTGTACGGGTTTTTACCCTGAAAGAACTCGCAGTTCGGGAGTATGTACAATGAACATAAGAAACCATTTCCTTAAAGAGCAAAGCTGTCAAATCTTTTTCCCAGACACAAACTCTTGAAAGAGTAAGAACTGGAAGTCACCTTTCATATTCAAAAGGGACATAAAGATTAATGTTGGAAAACATATTTACTCTACAGATATGAGAAGCACCTAAGCTATTAAGGTTTTAGAAATAAATTTGCAACAAAAAAGTCTTCTATGATTTGCTCATTTAGAACACAACCTATTTCGTGTGAAAAGTCAGAACAGGAAAAGAATAATGCATGTAAGAATCTGCAGAATCAAAGGCATTGCTTGGTCATGCATAGCTACTTCCTTTCATTGATGCAATCTAAAGGATGCATCTTTGGACACTGAATGTAGTTTACTCTTCCAGCTGAAACCTGGTCAAACAACACTTGCCATTTCTGAGAGTGATGGGATTGGGCCTCTTCCCACTGAAGTCAACTGCTGTGGGTGGGAGGACCTACAGGGAAGGTACACAATCAACTTTGGTAGCAGCAAAAAATACAAGAGACATTCATTCCACCAGAGATGAGGGAATATGCCTAATTTCCCTTTTGTAGCAGATACAGGTTTATGACTTTCAGTGAAGGTGAATTCTTGTTTGGGCTGATCTTTAAGTGCACCACTGACTGGGGTAGAAAATTCATATCATGTGCACTATATACATAATGGAGAGGAACCACAAAAGGTTGCTGTTGAGGAGAACATCTGGCTAAAATAATGCTAGCATTTAATTCTTATTGTCAAGCTGTGAGACACATGGTTAACAGACAGCCTGTGTTAGGCATGTGCTTCCCTGTTGCCTGTCAGAGGTTTATGTAAACTGGGCATTGTCTTAGTTTTACAGACTGATACACCATGCAAATATCATCTTGGTGGCACTGTGATATTACAGCTAATTCTTTCAGGGATCCAACCCACATGTACAAATACTAAGCTTGTCCTGCCTTAACACTGCTGTGCAAGCTTCTTAAGAGCCAAAGAAGTCTCTGTTTACCTGCTTCTGTAATTTCCCTCAACTCTATTGTCTATCCCATATTTTTATTTGAATAATATATATTAAATTAATTCTCATAGATATTCTAATTAACATGTCATGCTTGCATGGATCATTATTCTCTGCTGAACATAGTCCACTGAGTACTTTTAGGCCTTCATTCCAGGTATGGATACTGCATGCACTACAGTGACACTATTAATTAGGAATAACTGTATTAACTTACCTCCTAGACACATAAAAGAATAAGCTAATTGAACGTGCACTGAACCTGAAAAACATTGCTGTGCATTGTTACTAGAGGGATGGCTTGGAAAAAATACAGAATAATAGGAACAGCTAGGCATTAGACTCTAAATACATGGATCATTTGTTATTTGACAATTATGATTTTTGCTAGTTATACCAGAAGAATTAGAAGTAATCAAGTAAGAGATGTGAGGACTAATCTTCCCACAACATACCATATTGCAGGACAGTTAAATGGATCACAGATAACACCTTCTTAGAGGATCATGTCTGAATCAGTAACAACATGTCAAAGAAGAAAGCATGTCTAGGGTCTGCATCACACTCCAGCGAGTCGGAGTTGAAGCAGAAAGGAAACATGGCTGTCACACTACTCTGTCTCCACTGCAGTTTGTTGTCAAAGAGCAAAAATATACGTAAAAATAATCTCACTCTTTTTGCTCCCTACACTCATTGTGTGCAGTGTCCCAGGCACAACTGCCCTACTGAGTTTTGTGTCCACAGAACGTCACCTTACAGCTGACTACAAGATTAGAGGGTCCCTATAGTGCAGGCTGTCCACTAGAAGGTAGTAACTACCACTACAAGTAGTTCTATCCTACAAATACCAGGAAAGCATCACTCATGGTAATGCTATTAACTTCTAATCTCTGAAGGATTAACTGATGCAAAGCTAACCAGTTTTTGTTGGCACAGCAGCATACACTAGGAATATGAAGAGGTGTTATTTGGCTAAAATAAAAAATTGCATAATTCAAAAGGCCTTAAAATAAATAGTGCTACCCCTCTGTTCCCCACTGTTTTGTTGATACAAGCAAAACTTCTTCTGAGACTGTTTTTCCATATAATGTACTATCAGAGTTTTGTCAGAAAACTCTCCTAAAATAAGTGACTTTGTCCCTATCCACCAGTCATCTTTTATTATAGAGGAAAATGAATGAAACAAATACAGGAACGGTATAGAGAAGGAACAGTGTGTCGATTGGATAAAGCCCCAACACTGAACTTCTTTAATGGAGAGCCTTTTCAGTGGGGCATCTGTGACAACCAGTTGGCCACAATGTCTTTAGAGGTACCCAGGAAAAACATCTCATCTGCCTCACTCAAAAAGTGAGTTTCTGTTGCACTGAGACTTCCAGCCAAGCCACTTCATGTCTGAATCCACAGAGCCTACAGCATCTATCATCAAAGAGGCAAAAAGTCTAGTGTTCATAAAATCAGTTCCTGATTTCATTACTATTATAATATAATAAAATTAAAATCTGACCTAACAATTCAGCCTCCCCCAAGCAAAATATATATGCATCCCCCTCCTAGAAACACAGCCAGTGACCTTTAGATTTACTCATTTCATCTAAGATGACACCAAAAATCCTTTGAAAGAGAAAGCTAGTATGGTGATGGCAGTGACTGGTGACCCAGAGAGCCTGAATTCACCTGGAGCTCTGCCACAGACTTGATCTACACTTTGCACAAGTAACTTAACCTCTGTTCCCCTATTTCCTTTGCCCAGTGCTTCCCCAGTAGTTTCCTCATTCAGGTTTCCAGTACCCACTGAACAGAAGAGCTGTGAAACTTGACCAAATAAGTTAACTCCAACATTTACCTTAGAAATGTTAATTGGAATGGAGGCAATTTTGATTTATACAAGCCTATTTCATTTCTTGAAGATATCTCAAAATAGAAGAGAACTTACAGGCAGTGAATTTTCAAACCTGTGTGCTTGTTATTGATTGCATAGTCTCTTGCTAATGCAGTCTTATTTTAGAATCAGACATTACTTTCCCTATACACTAGAGAAGTCACAAAATTTTGTATTTATTGTACTGGACTGTAGTGAGACATGCTGGCTCATCAGCTTCACAGGCAGACAGTTCTGATTTCTTAGCTCTTTACTCTCACAGACTGGTTGGACCTGTCCAAAGAATTCTGCTTTCATTTACTCATATTTCAAAAGTTACCTCATGCATATTCTTTTTCACTTGATTTTTACAGCAAAGTGAGTGTTCAGTAGTTACATGTTACTAAACTAAAAGGTAATTGCATTCCTGTTTCCATACTGACGCTATTATCTTCCACTCAGAACGACAGCCTGCAAGGACCAGGCTCCCTCTACCTGTACATGTGACTTTGCCTTCCATAGTTAAAAACGTGTAGCTGGGCAGGGCAGATTTCCTGCAAGCAGTCAGAGAAAATCAGTCTCTTTCCCCATTAACATTGCACCCCAATGCAGCTTTACCATAGTGGCTGCAGGGCCTCCATTCACATATTGAATCTGTTCTGGCTGTTCCGTAAGATGTATAAAAATTACATGGTTGCTCTCTACCTGCCACCACATCTTGTTTTCTCATCTGAATAATGTTTTAAGAATGGCTTAAAAAGGAAATAGCTAATATTATAATCCGTATCTGTCTTGCTCTGTCTACTGCCCTTCCTTAACTCTTACTAAGAAGCCATTAGAGAAACAACTAAAATCCTCATGCACTCTCCATGGGGTTTGCACTTCTTAGAACTCCAATATTTCTTTCCACTGCTCTTGTCGTCTAAACAAGAAAAATCACACAACCACTACAAAGTACCATAATGCTAGCAATCTGTTATTCCCCACTTCTCTCAACAACAGCACACAATCCATCAGAACTTTTCAGTATGATCTTACTCTTCATACTGTCATTGACACCTCTGAACCGTACCTACAACAGATAGCAATCCAAGTATAAATTATTTACCTTTTTTCCCAGAAAAAAGGTCAAAAGGAAAACATTATCCAACCACCATCTGCCTAGCATGTCTAACAAACCACAGACTGCATACATACAAGCTAGAAGAAAAATTAAATAAATTCTAGGCAGATCATCTCCAAGAGTCCACAGAGAGTTGTAGTATGATCTATTGAGCTTTGCCCCATTTCCATATCAATTATTATACCATTTGGAGCATTAAGTAGATAATACTGTTTACACAGCTTTCTAAAATAACTAAAGAAGCCCATGAGGATGCCTAGTTACTTATGAAACATATGCAGAGAAGATGGTCTCTGTGCAATGCAGCATCTTGTTTACAGGGAATCCTGTGATCTTTATCACATAGTTATTATTAACTCCTGTTATCTGCTGCATCACTGGAGGATAATATGTGCTTTCCTGAATCTTAATAAGGCTAAATACATTTATTGAATTCAACAGATTTGTACAAGCAGCATGGGAGTCGAGTTCAGGACACAGGATGAAATCTAGGTTTTGTGGCTCAGGCAGCAGCTGAGCAAATCAAATCAAGAATGTTTATTTGCTGATTAGATCAAAGGCAGGAGCAAGATGTGTTGAAAAACTAAACACAGTTGTACTGGTGTAAAATACTGAATGTCAGTTCCCATCTGGATGAGGTGAGAACCCAAAAGAACTAACCTATTTATATTAAGATCACATTACAACATATGTTCATCACACTTTGTGAGTATATATTTGGTCTGTATACAGATATACAATACACTAATTTTCATGTCAGACCAGTGAAACTTGAGAGTAGCTACAATGAAATAAATTAAACTATAACGTAATTCAGAGCAGAATAAGGTCTACTGTCTATATAAACATATGCCCAATCTCTGTACACGATGGATGAATGGATTGATGAGCAGATAGAGCAAACAAATTTGAATGTTTTGATGCTTAATGAATGTTTGCCAAGTGATTTAAGAAATTCAGATCAAAGCTACTTTACAAGTACTGAACTATTATATATACATAGACAGATTCAAACATACAACATTCTTTTCTTAGAAATAGTAATACATCTGTAAATCT